TTTGGAATTGATTGATAACAGTTTGACTGGGCTCTGGAAAGTAAAATATTGTTAGCCTAGAGTCTATTCATATAGTAGGCACCAAAATCTCTGAATTTTCTTTAGGATTCTTATTTCCCTCTCCTCAGTACAAACCTCTGTGACAAATGTTGTAAAATGTTATTCTCACTGATCTATTAGAAGCATTGAAACATGAAATCCAACCCTTGTAGGACAGCCTGATTATCATTAAAGCCATGCTTTCTGCTTTTTAGTCTTAGAAGTTGTAGTCCTGATCATGAGAGTCTCTTTCTTTGACACGGACAAGAGAAATCCAAAGCATTCTCACTGATTGAGTCTTATATCTGGGAAATATTTGTGCTTTTAACCTAAAATATGAACAGGGAGGGCTCCTAGGTGTTGTGAAGATGGGAGCCATTTAACCTCTGCAATAATCACATATAGCAGTTTTCATCTTTGCTTTTCATACTCACTATTTTAAAACAGTTCCCATTCTATCAATTAGTTAGTCAAAGAGTAGTCAGATAGTAGGGTACATGATTAATATTCAATGTAAAATAATACAAAGAAAGTCCAACCAGGATCTGGAGAGTGTACCGCCCCCACATGTTTTTAAATTGTGGCCTCTTTTGTCATTTATTGCAGCAGTCCGCTTGGGTAATAAAACATTGCATGCTCATTTTCATCAGGGTGAAAAAGGTGATCACGGTGCCTCAGGCTTCCCAGGATTGCAAGGAAGACAGGTAATTGATAATTGTACATTGAGGGAGAACACAAGAGGTCACTGATTAAGGTAGCAAAGCAAGATGTTTGTAAAGCTGTAAACTTTGGGTCCAGCCTATCTTCCCTGAAAGTCAATCATGCACTTTCTATGGACTTTCACTGAGGCTTCATCAGCTCTATGTTAAGGGTTTTCTAAATCTTCTGCAACTTTTGATTCCAACAGAAGTTAAAATCAAACTATGGACCTGAACCTAACAGGTACTGAGACCCCTAAAATTGAAGGAGCTGTTGAACAGCTCATAGTGTTGGGGCCATTAATGAGGATGGCAACAACAATGACGACAGTAGCATATGGGGATTCTGCAGATAAGGAAGCCAAAACTCAGCAGGGTTTGACACCCCTGATATACTAATAGGAGTGGACACCTTGAGCTACACTTGTCAAATAGTCCATGAAAAATAAACACATGAATTATAAAATAAAGATATGAAAAATGTAAAATATTGGGAGGCTGTGACCATTTTCAAGTTGTATTTGTTTACTTGGTCATTCACTAAATTTAGCAATTTGGCAATTTGTTTCCTAGTCATTACTGAAAATGGCTGAGATTCTATGAATCCTGTGTTCTACACATGCTCATGGATCATCTTTCCTTAGCCTCGGCATGGAAGGGAGTATGTGCGGGTGTGTGCGAGTGAGTGAGTGAGATAAACACCAGTAAGTCTAATCTGAGGTATATCAGATAAACTGTCACGTATAAATGTGTCCTACGTGGCTTTAAAAGCAAAATCAGCAAATGAAATATTTCCATAGGGATACAAAGGAGTAAAAGGGTCTCCTGGAAGAAGAGGTAATCCTAGACCACAAGTGAGGACTCTCTTTATTATTTTAAAGGGGATTTTAATTTAATTTAATGAAATAAAATTGATTTTCTATTAATTGTTATTTGCTAGTCACTAGTCACATTCACTACCGAAACAAATGCAAATATCAACAGGGTTCCTGCCCACACTATTAGTATATCAGTAGAGAGCTTATTAATTAAATACCATCTTATAGAGTTTAAGGGCCAAATTTTGAGGACAGTAGAACCAAAGTAGAGCAAAAATAGGAGGAGAAATCACTAGAAATTCTCCTCTCTGCTCAGCCTAATCACTTTTTCCTTGCACCTCTAGTTCGTATAGCAATCATATGCTATGTTATTCAGAGCAGGTGAAATTCAACTCCACTCACAGGCCAGGGCATGACTTTTTCCTCACCTAGAGCTCTCAAAATAGGGTGTGATTTTCATTTCCATAATGAATAGGCCTTCTGTTAGGCCCTGCTTGGAGCTGTTATATACTGGTGTCCTCACCAAGTTGTTAAATAGGAAGAGATAGTGTTATGGTTACAGAGCTAGTTGCACTGCTGACCTTTCACTGAGTGCATACCACAGGAGTCCATCCAAACAGCTTCTCAGCTACAGCTGCATCACCTCAAGCCAACAAGTGTGTTTTTGTCTGGTTATATGCAAGAAGCAAGGGGCTTCTTGGTGATATCACCTATGGACCAACTATATAGTTGGAGGAGATGTTAGACACTTTATGCCCAACAGCTTATCCTGTATCTCTCCCAACTATACAGTCAGTCCAATAGAAGATATTAGAAAAAAACCTAATGCTTCTATCATATTTCCTGGCCCATCACATGTATAGCAATGCTCCAACTCTATTTTCTGGTTATAGTCCTTTTGATTTGCGCAGTCACAGCACTAGGTAAACTAATGTTATAACTTGGCTAGAGCTTAGAGATAGCATCTTCACAGCTAATAGTTAACCATCCTGAATATTTTCCTGGGAAGTAGCTTTTCTTGAGCCACTGTTTATACACCTTGCTCACGCAGTCAACACCTCAGGGGCTAGGCTAGATGACCTTGTGAGGTCCTTCCAACTCTACTTCCCTATGATCCCAACCCTGAATCCTGCACACAACATTTATAAATGACTGCAGAGCAGGCTCCCTTTTGCCAAAGTTGCTAGTACATCTCAGGAGAGCAGGTATTTTACCACTACATTTGCAGGATTAGTTTTAACCCTTATTTTGTTGCAAAGTTAGCTAATGATGAAAGTCATGTCAGCTTGAAAATGACATTGCATGCTTTTCTCAGTGCTGCCACTGCTATAAACTTGCCATTAAGGCTAGAGGCAGAAGTTACACATAAACTGGTTTAAGTGATAAGAAATAGAAGTTCAGTGCATATAAACCAGTTTCAAAATGGCCAAAACTGGTTTAAGATAAACCTGGTTGAATGTAGTGGTATCAGACTTAACAGATTTAGGTCAAACCAGTTTATGAAATTTCTGTCCCTGACCCCTTGCTGGTTCAAGTTAAATCAGAGTACCCCAGCATCCCACCATTTTGTAGCCTTGGGCTGGGCTTCCAGAGAGCAGGGCTGGCCCCACCCCTCTTCTCCCTAGCTGGAACAGTGAGGGCTGGCTCACTGGCCTCGCTGACTGGCTCACTGGCCCCGCCCCCCCGGCAAACCCCTGCTGGGGCTGAGAGGGGGAGGGGGTGTTAAATTTCCCTTCTCCCAAGTAAGGAGGTACCTGCTAGCTTGCTTAGTGCTGGCTGCCTCTATGGACTACAAATCCTAGAGGCACCTGGAGGGGGATGAGGAAGAGGAAGTGATGAGCAACCCTGCAGAGTCCTTCTGCTGCAAGTCTGGAGTGCAGATCCCAGAGACCTTGGGGGCAGCAGGAAGAGGAAGTGAACACACAGCCCATATTGACTCGTGCTGGCTCCAGTGCCCACTGGCTTCTGGCTTGAGCCACTGCAGGAAGGTGGCTGCATTTCCTGAATCAAAATCTGTTCATTTGCTTATTGGTTCAATTTCTGTAGCTTAGACTAACTTGCAAAGACTGAATCAATTCAGCCTCATGCTTTTTGACTGCCTGCATGTAGCCTAAATATCTCCACTTTGTGTGCAATAGGGTGATCCAGGAGAAACAGGTTCTGAAGGACCTTCTGGATATTCTGGAGCCTTGGTAAGGAAATGGAAAATCAACTGACCCTATGCACTTTTCCAAGAGCAAAGTGAGGCACTGCAGGGGGCATGCAAGAGTTTAATTAGAAACATATGAGCATAAGAGGTCTGGAATAATATTGATCACTATTTCCTTTTGATCTCTGTCATTCATGTTCTATTATCATGGGCCAGATACACCTTAAATATGCATATCAGTTTCCAAGATTTTTATGACTTCTTTTTTACATGGTTCTGAAAAATTAAGTCATCTCAGCTAGGGACAGACATTACACATAAACCAGTTTAAGTGATCAGAAACTGGTTTAGACCTGTAACAGAGCAGACGTTCAATGCACATAAACCAGTTTGAAAATGGCTGAAACTGGTTTGAGATAAACCTGATTGAATGTAGTATCAGGCTTAATTGATTTGGGTTGAACTGGTTTATGCAATGTCTGTCCCAAGGCCCTTCCTGATTAAACTTAAACCAGATTCTCCAAGCATCCCAGATATTTTGCAGCCCTGGGTGGGGCTCTCTGCTCCACAGCAGGGCTGGCCACACCCCTCTGCTCCCTTACTGGAGCTCTGGCAGAGACTGCAGGCACAATGGAGTCTGCCTGGATTCTTCCTGCCCCCACCCTCCCTGCTCAAGCAGGGATTCCACGCTCCTCTCTCCCACAGCATGGACAGTAGCCAGCATGTGGTATGCTAGCTAATGCTGAGAGATTCACAGAAGTTTAGGATTGGAAGGGACCTTGTGAGATCATTGGGTCCAGTGTGTAAGGCAGACAGGACAGTGTCTGCTTAGGGGTTTTTGGAGCTAATCAACAGGTAGCTCGTAATGTCCCTCCATTCCTTCTTTGGAAAAAGCTGTTTAAGAACAACTTGAACTAATGAGAGAGGCTTTTGTTTTGTTTTGATGTATTTTGATGGGGTGCTAAATGCTCTGTTACTCCCTGTGTAACTCACTGCTGTGTAACTAAATGCTGTGTAACTCCCTCCTGGCTCCCTTCCTGGTTAGGAGCAGTGGGGTGGGGGGGACCCCTCCTTAATCAGAGCATCCTGCTGGGGCTTGGCCACACTCCTCTCAGCTCAGCACTTTGGAAGGGATGGGAGGGCTGCTCTAGTGCCCCCCTTACCCCGCCCCCTGGCTTCTAGTTTGAGTCACTGCAGGCATGTGCCTGCATTTTCTCAGTCGAGAGGAGAATGTCTGTGCACTTGTAAACCAGTTTAGCCTAGCCAGGTTAGACTAACATGCAAAGATTGGCTCAATTCAGGCTCAGGCATTTTGAATGCCTGTCCCTAGCCCTCAAATTCTGGACCACAAAAGATGATGCTTTGCAATGATGCTGACCTTTCTCCTTCTAAAGTCAAATGAATAATATTGCCTTCTACTTCAGGGTTTCATCAGTATACCTGGAGAGAGAGGTGAACTGGGTCCCCCAGGGAAAAAGGTAACATGGAGGGTAATGGTTGGTGTTTCCATTTTAAAAATAAATTCTACTTGATTTATTGTTACCTTGTCCTCCCAGACTCATTTTCCTTGTTTATCTATCTTGTCTACTTTGCTCAATATCTATTTCCAATATCTATATCATAAAGCTACCTTGGACAAAGACTGTCATTTTGTTACTTGTTTGTACAGGCCCTTGCCTGGCAGGTCCCTGATCCTTGATTGAAGTTCTTAATTGTTAATTATTACTTAATTATTAACTGTTTGTATTCTTATGCAGAAAATGTCTGGGAATAGGAGAGAGAACAGGCATGTCCTATTAATTCTCAGAATGAGCTTTGTGGGTCAAAAGCATGGCAATCCTTTTTTAAACTAAGCAGCTCACCTGTTTCTGAATCCTTTTCTGCCACAGGGTGAACCTGGTTTGCCTGGACCTGAAGGTGAATCTGGAATAAAAGGAGAAGCAGTAAGCAACTGGGGTCTGTCTGTCTGTCTGTCTCCCTGTCCTGGATAAGGATCACTGTGGGGATTCAGTTGCATCTAAGGCCAGAAGTTATAGCTGTTTTTGCATTTCAGGGTGACATTGGGAGGAGTGGTAAGGATGGCAGCTCTGGTGCTCCAGGGGAGGAGGTACAAAATGTCAGTTTCTTGTGTCTACCTGGCTTTCTCTGACCCATAAACAAAAAAACAAGGTCCAGCACCATGAATGTTATAAATAATCACTTTCTCACAGTACCAGGCATTTAATCTTGGAGCATTTTAGCAGTGGACCACTGACACTAGTCACAGTTTGGCCATCGATACGTTTTCTCTCTTGTCAGATTACTTCATTTTCATTTTATGTTTTTGTCTTCTCTTGCTGGGATTTCTTTAAACAACCTTGAATCCCTTTAACACTTACTTATATTCTCCCAAGATTCTTTTTTCTTCAGCTCCCATTTTCATTACTTTAACTGACAACCACAGTGAGCAATATCAAAGCAGTTGCTTGATTAGTAAAAGGATAAAGCACATTGACCCTGGGTCCTAGTATACCTTGGTCATATGAAATGGTGGACCAAAACAAGGGTGTAGAGTCCCCAAAGTCTATGCCTGTCAGCTGACTGGAACAGTGATACAGTCTGGGAGTATCACTGTGAGAGTGCCACAAGGGCCCAAAGGAGCTCACACGCCAAGTCCTTCTCCCCCAAACAGCTGGAGCAGCACAAAGGAGTACAAAAGTAATACAGTTCAATTGGTTTGGTCTATGATGCTGAGTGCCTGGGACCAGTGGCCTCGTTCCCACTTAAGGCAGACTACCTCTTTGGTACCTAAATAATAAGCTTCTCCCCCTATAAGCTTATTTGGTACAAATAATACTTTATCAGCCCATTACTTTTATACCAGGAATAGGCCAGAATGAAAACCTGGTACCAGAAAATGAAATGCATTGGAAAAAAATCTTCTGCAGGTATAAATGGTCAGAAGTGCCACTAATTTCAGTGGAATTATAGACATCTATAAAAACTGAGTATCTGGCTCACTGATGCCAGATTGCAAACATGCCCCCTCCCCCAGTATCATACACACACTGAGCTATCCTGCCCCCAAGGGCGAGGGTAGGAAGTGGAAGCCAGAGGAGGGAGAAGGAACCCAGATACCCAGCAACAGAAGGAGGCATTTTGGTAGGAGCCCACAAGTGGTAAGTTAATCCGTTATGTGCTGTACGCCACAACTTACACAGTTCTACATACCTTACTACTAGGAAGGTTTCACCAATATTCTGCTTAAAAAGCTTCTTCTCTCAACATCAGTACTTTGAAACCATGAATAATTTCCTGAAGCTTGGTGCTCCATACACGTTACCTATCTGCACACACGAGTGCTTGTGTATGCATGTTAAATCAGCTTTACATATTTAGCCCTTTAAATTTCTCCTAATGAGAAAAGATAGACCCGACACAATTCCTCAAATACGAACACAATGGGTGTATTTACATGAGATGCTTACTGTGGAGTTACCTCATTAGCGCTGCAGTGAAGTGTCACCATCTACGTGAGTGGTGTTAAGAGGCCAGAGTAAACTAATTAATTCTTCTGTAGGATAGTACTGCCCAATACAAGTACTAGTCTATGGCAGAGTTATTCACTCCCCCTCAATGCACGTGTAGATGGTGACCCAGCTGGCTGGGGCATGAGGGTGCTACAGCATGGGGGCTGCCTACTGGCTAACCCCACAGTATAGTACCTGCATGCCCCAGCCAGCCCCTCCACAGCACATTAAGTCAGGGTAGGGCATCAGACCCCTCAGGTCCCATGCCAGCCAGGGCTGCACCACCCCAGCTTAACGTGCTGCAGTCCTAGGTGCGTGTGAAGACACTCTGCCTGGGAGCAGTAAACTCCAGCACAAAGTGTACCAGAGTTTATTGTCTTGCATTAATTTCATGTGCCCACCAAAACTTCATGGGGGTTCAGGTTTCTGCCTGCATGGTTGCATCCTTGCTTTATATTGGACTGAACCAGAATTCCAATTCCAGACATCCCAGCACTTGAAATAAGAAGCTGGTCTTGAAACCTCTACTAGATTTCAAATTTTATAACTGCAAACTATTACTATTGATGAGTCATTTCTTCAAGCCCTCTGAGTATTTTTGTTGCCTTTTACTGAAACATTTTATTTTCATACAATGCTGTATTGTTCCAGCTTTTTACACAACCCATCTTTAAAACACACGTGTTCAAAAAACCTTTTCCCTCGTGTACTTAACAGCCTTTTATAGTGGTTATGCCTTCCTCTGGAATACTTAATGTACTGCTGGTGAGTGCTTCCTTTGTTCTGATATATCTGTAAATTGTGTGCAGAGACTCATGAAATGTCACAAAGACATTTTCAGGTGTTGAACAGTGACCATTTCTAATATGCTTCAGAAACTGTGCACTAAGGACTATACATATGTATCCATGTATGTCAATTTTCCCCATAAACTAGAGGGGGAAAACCCCCTACCATATCTTATTACTTCTAACAAGATAGGATTTCCAAAACTGATTGCATAAAAAAAAATAGATTTATAGCCATGCTAAATGCACCCATTGCCCATTGGTACTTTCTTTAATTATCTAATTAGATTAACCCAGTGAAACATTGGGTTTGTGTTGTTGTCAACTAGGGTTCACAAGGAACACCAGGAAAACCAGGACCTCCAGGGCCAGATGGACCAAAGGTAATTTCCCACTGTGTTGCCTTTAGAAACACCTAGGAAATCTGATACATCATAAATATATTACACTTAAAATATCCTTTTTTAAAAATAGAAGGGAAAACGAAAATGACCCACAAAACAGCTAATGGCAACATCTACATAGAAAATGGAATTGCTCAGGCTGAGCTGCTTTCTGAACCAAAAACAATGTAACTAGGAAGCATTGCAGACAGGCTAATTGACATGGAGCTAGGCTAATCAGCACTGCCACTCAGTAGTGCTAATTATGCCACATGAAGTGCTGTGCCAGTGCAGCTACACTGCTTCTGTGGGTGGGGGAAGGCATATAGTAGATTCCTGGTGGTATAACCTCTAAGAACAAGACAGAAACAAGGGCAGTCATGACCGAGAGATGCCTTAGTCATGGTACATCCTGGCCTGTTTCTGAGATGGTGCAGTTTATGTCATGTCCTTAGCTCAGAGCTGTGTCAAGGTTAATGTAGGATCCAAACAGCTGCAAGAACCCCCTGGAGGAAGTGTAGCTGATTTATGCAGACCTTCTTCACGCAATGTAGCAACAGCTCTGCTGCAAAGTGCCCCCCATCACTTCATGTTTGCTGCACTTTAGCCATTCTGCTTGAGAGGGCTAACCAGGAGCTTTCCTCATGCCTGGAGAAGTCCTACTGCTGGGGACAGAGATACACAGACAGCCAAAAATGGGTGTGCATGGGTCCAGTTTTTTCACTTATTCTTGCCCATCTTCATGCTGAGAATGCTGGTTACCAGCATGAGAAATAATGGAGAGCCAGAAACTGGAATGCAGATGCAGTCACTCACTCAAGAATGGGTTGAACACTCAAGTTATAGATATAATTTAGTGAAGAACAAGATGCAACGAAATAACAACTCTCAAATCTCTGTCCCAGGGCTTTGCTGGTGCTAATGGACCCAAAGGAGCCCATGGAAAGCAAGGATCTATGGTAAATCTAGAAGGCAGCAAACTGTGCCTCACGTCTCTATCGGTAAAAGTCTAATCATGTAAATCCTTAGCAGGTGAGAGTCCCATTAAGGTGACTAAGAGTTCTTTGTACATTGAGCTGGGTCAGAGCAATCCCAGCTGGAAGAGGGCCTGGAGGCTCAGCCTGCCAGCCCAAGGCTGCTCTGACTCAGCTCAATCTGCTACACAGGACACTTCTGGTGCCAACCTGCCCTTCCTTCCTTACACTCATGAACCTCTCACAAGTAATCCCATTGAAATCAACAGGGCTGTCAGCAATGAGGAAGTGCTCATCAGTGAATTCCCACTGATTTTAGCAGGACTATTCAAGGAGCAATATATTCATCGAGAATGACAGAATCAGGATGCCAGCAGTGGTACTATACCTAAAATGGATAGGCTCAGCTAAATGGATAGGTCTAAGTCTCATTTCCCAAGTGTTGTCTACTATTTAAAGTTGCTATTGCTTAAAAAAAATTAAAAGGAATGAAGAGCAAACATTACTGAATCAAAAAGGTATTGAAGCATTGAAGCAGTTGAGCACTTTCTCCTGATGCATAGCTGCATAACATGCAAGCAAGCTTCAGCCCTCCCTAAGCATAGAAATACTTTCTGTTGTTACTTTTTATTCTTTATTTTACATGATTAGTAAGACCTATCTTTCAAAACTGGCCTTGTAAAAAAATCAAAGTGAAATAGAATTGTTGTGTACAGTGATTGTACCTGACTGTCTTTTTTGTACCAGACCCATTTTGAGATCTAGATCTGATGTGACACAGTAATTTGGGAGCGTAGAAAGGAACCTGGTTGCATCATAACATCCAGACCCCTGTGATAATAGGCAAACATACAATATCTGTTTAGCCCAAAAGGATCCAAAAGGATATCTAGTTTGGTTCATGTGACATGCCACAGAGCACTCCCTTAGGTACCTCATAATAAATTTGAGTTCTTTAATCTGAAAAAAAAACAGAATCCCAAAAGCTATAATGGGCTACAAGAGATCAGAAGGCACTAGGGCACCATCAATGTCTTATCAGAGGTGAAAAATATAATGTTCTGTTCAAAATTAATGAACTGCTCGACATCCTTTACCTAACACTACTGTACCACCATTCCTTCAATTTCCCTTTTTCCCTTTCACCCAGGGTTATCCAGGAGCCATGGGAGAAACTGGAGAAGCAGGGCCTAAGGTACAAAAAAGGTCTATTTTGGCTGGATTAAGCACTACATCCTGCCCCAGTGAAGTCGAGAGGAGCTTTGATATTGTTTGCAATGGGCAGGGACTAGGAACTAATTAAACACTTATGTATTGAGAAGGTACAACATTAAGGGAAGTAGAGGATTTTAAGAATACATAATTCAAATGTCTTATTTTATCCTGCATGAGAGAAAATACAAGCTGCTTGGCTATAAAACATTACCCTATTCCTACTGCACAACTGATTCCATTTTAAGTTATTCTTCAGACATCTTATTTCCAATCACGCAAGAATTTCCACCATCCCATTGTCATTGTTTCTTGAAATGTTAACAAATCTTTCTTTGAGGTCCAAGCTAGAAGAACATAGGGAACAAGTACATACTTTTCAGAACAGTCATAGATTCATAGATTAAGGGTCGGAAGGGACCTAGTAGATCTTCTAGCCCGACCCCCCGCCAGGGCGGGAGAACAACAAAAAACCCCAAAAAGAGAAACGGGACTCAAATGAGTCCAGCCAGGTAGGCATCCAGCCTCTTCTTAAAGACCCCCAGGGTAGGGGCCAGCACCACTTCCCTTGGAAGTTGGTTCCAGCTCCTAGCCGCCCTAACTGTGACTCATCACCTCTCATCCTTGGAGACAGTCCCATCAAATAAATTTTTAGGCCAATTGGTGGAGTATTATGTGGCTATTTGACCATTCTACCTCTTAGGTATTTAAGTGGACTTAGGTGCCTAGGTGTAATCCTGTTCTACCTTGCTCTAGGCCCAGAAAATGCATCAATGAATCTACTTCTGTCAATTGCCATTATCTGACCCTTAAGACTGAGTTACAAAAAACAAAGCGAGGAGGAGGAGGATCCACTCAGCTTCTGCATGAACTGTTTTTCAAGGATTTGGGCAGGGTAAAATAGAATCACACTTAGGCCCCTGCATCCACTTATGCACCTAATAGGTGGAACAGAATCTGGCCCTTAGTTGTCTGTTTGTCTGTTGTTCAGTAACAAACTTCAGTCTTCAGGGGTGTTGAGGCAGAATCTTCCATGAGTATTGAATTTGCTAAGACATACAGACAAAAGCAATGGTAGATTTTCTGTATTATTTTAATGAATGTTGTTGAGAGGCTATTTTGAATACCTGGTTCTTATGATTTTCAGGGAGATGAAGGACCTATGGGAATCCCAGGCAGTGATGGCATTCCAGGAAGAGATGTAAGAACACTGACCTAGATCTAACTGAATCATTTTCAGGCAATAAAAATTTGTTCTGAGAGATATTCCATTGTTTTGTAGGGTCCACTGGGAATCCCAGGATTAGAGGGTGAGATTGGATTTATGGGACCAAAGGTAAAAACAACTTGATTATTAAACGAAAAGAAGAGAGCTGCCATTAACAATAACCAATACAAGAATTAGGGAATTAAGATGTTAGCAAAAAGATGATTTACATGACTCACTTGTCCATCACTCCATGACCCTACCCTGTTCCAATTTAAACCTAAAACTTTTGTCAGAGGAAACTCAGAGGTTCCACTGAAGGTGATTACATATAATTATACTCTCATTATTGATCATCCCAGTAGCATTTTCAGCTTTAACTTTCCTGCTGGTCATGTAGTGCAAAAACCCATCTCAAACATGCCTTGACATGGCTAAAAATTGAGCTCCCTTTTAACAAAAAAGTTCACTTTAACCATGGTATAAAGTATTGAAATAGTTCCAATCCAATCACCATAGAACTGTCGGTTTGGCAGGGACCTCAAGGGGCATTTGGTCCAACCCCCTGCATTAATGCAGGAAAGGTTCTACTAAATCATCCCTAGCCAATGTGTATCCAAACCCTTCTTGAAAACCCTTCAGTGAAAGAGATTCCACAGTTTATTCCACTGTTTCACTATTCTAATAGTAAGGAAGTTCTTTCTGGGGGCATCTACATGTGATTAATGTGACACAATAAGCACTGGCGCAGTTTGTACCAGAGTTTATTGCTCCTGGGTGCAGTATCTTTGCATGTGCCCAGGCCTGCAGCATGCTGAGCTGGGATGGCACAGCCCCAGTTGGCAGGTTGCCCAGGGGGTTAGCCTGCCAGCCCAGAGCTGCTCCCCCTGGCTTAGTGTGCTGCAGAGGGGCTGGCTCAGGCATGAATGTACTACAGTGCAGGTCTAGTCAGCAGGCAGCCCCAGTCACTGTCTACAAGTACGTCGCAGCAGAGTAAATAACTCTGCCAGAGGATAGTACTTGTATTGGGCAGAACTGTCCTATAGCAGAGTTAATTAGTTTACTCCAACCTAATAGGGGTGCATGTGTAGATGGTGATGCTTTACAGCACAGCTTCAACTTCGCAGTAACGCAATTTGTGTAGATGCACCCTCTGATACTTAATCTAAACCTACTTTGAAGCCATTGCTTCACATGCTACCTTGTGCAGCGAAGAACAGTTATCCCCCTCTTCCCCCCTTATGGCAGTCTTTCAGATATTTGAAGACAGCTATCACATCCCCCTCCTTAATTGCCTTTTCTCCAAGCTAATCATACCTAGTTCTCTCAACCTTTCCTCATACAGCTTGCTTTCTAACATCTCCTCCCTTATCTCCAGATGATACCAGCAGCCCTCCA